CTATCAACTTTTTTTTTCATTTCTGGATAGTTTGTTAATATCAATTTTTTATACATATGTCATATATTATTATATATCAAATTAAATGCTAACATTTCTGGATAATTGTTAGTATCAAATTTTGCATAATTTTGGAAAGTTTTCAAATTTTTCAAATTCTTAATTTTATTTATAATATCTAAGAATATAATAAAAGAAACTTACATCTTTAATGTGAAATCTCCGAAATGAAAGAATGATTTTAATTCATCATTGATATTACGACCAATATTAGTAGTACAATATGCCGCCAATAAATTGATAGTATACCATTTTATGCTTACATTGTGAACTTTGAACACTGCGAGTAATATGGCAGAAATAGGAAGGATAACATCAAAGACGGCAAGTATTAATTTCATTTACTGGTATTTCTCGGGAACTGACACGAATTTCAATCGATAAATGAAACGAATAAACATGATAATTAACAGTATAAGTTGAGTGAATAAGTTAAATACGATGAAGCCTGAAAAAAAAAGCAAAATAAATATGCAAAAGTAGGAAGAATCAAGTTTAGTAAATCGAATAAATGGATAAAATATGAATTACACATTTTACATTTTTCCGATCCAAATACAATATCTGAAATAATAAATCTATTTAAATAAAAATAAAAATGTTCAATTTATTCAGTATTTCAATGTTTTTCACCGATTATTTTGAAATTTTGATGCAACGTTGCATTTGAATATCTGCGTGTTTTTTATATACTTATATGATATAAATGTCACACCTGTGACGTATAGATGTCAACACCTGTGAAGTATAAAAAACAAATTTCTTTTTTGTATATATATATATAGATATATGAAAAGGCGAAACTTTTTTATATATCTGTGTAGGAAGATATCTATCTATATATACCTTTTCATAGGAGCTTCTTTATTTGATAAGCTTCATCAAGGTCATCATGAAGATCTTATCAAGATTATCATGAAGATCTTATCAAGGTCATCATGGAGATCTTATATGCTTTTGTTGGATTATTATCGATATAAATATGTGTAGTTTAAACTAGTACTGTAAGATATTGTTTATGTTAATACAGGCATATTCTAAAGAATTTCAAGTCACACTAACGGTACATTCTAAAGGATTTTAGGTTAACGTTGGCATATTCTAGAATCTTACATCATCTTCGGGTCAATCGGTTTATTCTAATGGATTTGTTGTAAATAAACTCTCCTATATAAGCTATAAAATTGGGGAGGCTGGACACATTTTGTTTTCATCTATGCAACAGCGATATCCTCTTCCGTCACCATTTATCCTTGAATTGTCACTATTATCAAATAATTTAATTATCTGAATTATACCCAAATTATATTTGAACTTTTATTATATTAAAAATTTTCCTATTGATTAACTGCTCATTTCTTGACAATTTTTAATGAATTTTGATGTATTTCTTGGATGCTATTCGTGTGTATAATTTATTTTCTTTCTTTTTTTCTAATATTTTTCATTTTCTTTTTTTTTTCAATGCAATTGATCTGCTTTAATTCATTAAAATAATATCTTTCGTAGAGGGTCAAACTTTGGTTGTCGTACTAAAAAGAACGCAAGCAATGTGACAAATAATTGTGAATTGAATGAATGAAATAAACAAAGAATGACTCAAATATGTACCAAAGAATCAGCAGAGGACATGCAGCAAAATTGCATGATGACAATTACAATCATGGCAATCGTATACTCCTGTCCTTTCATTTTGCTTTCAATGAATGAATATGAACACAGCAGGCTGAATGCTTGTCCTAAAATATTCTAATACATATAAATGTTGAAGTTAACTAGCAGATATACATGTCCAACTGCAAAATGATCGATCATTCTTATATCAATTACTGAAAATTGGAAACAAAAAGATGCTAATTGATCTGATATCAGGGACAAATTTCATTGCTTCATAACTTCTGCAATTTAGTGAAATTAAAAGGAAAATTAAAAAAGAAAATATGTATATCCCAATATTGAAATCAATTATAAAAATCACAATTGGCTGAATGAACGAATTATTCGTGTGACCAAAAACAAATACATCTACAAAACATAATAATGTTATTCAGTCTAACATTCAATAATGAGACAGTCACATATAAGTCCAGAAAGAAGCAGCAGATGAAGCAGTTAATTACCCAATAAAATTTTTGAATTCATCGATTTGCCAGGGATGCCAGTGCATGTATTGCAATTGAAAATCGGCATGCCAATTATCATGTCGCAACCAGCTAAAGTTTTGCAACAGCACACATCTTGCAGTAAAAAAAGAAAAAAATGAACAATGTCATAGAAATAACAGTCTTGACAGGACATTTCTAAGATGAAGATGTTCTCATTCCACGCATATGATATGTCATTTCAATTTAGGAGAATACAATTTCCAATTCGATTGATGTTTACAATCATCATCAACAATGCTTAAAGTCAATCTTTAAAATTCTATGGTTTAGATTAAGACACGGATTACTTCTTACGTGGGACAATTATATGTTGCGTGTTATAGAATCGATAAACCAGACAATCTACAAAAAATGAAAGAACAAAAAAACATTGTATACCGATAAGCATTGTGAAATTAAACATATTTAGAAATATGCGCTTTCTCTTCTCTTTCTTTTTCTCTTATAATAAATCTCTCTATATATATATACATTTATTTATTTATTTTTCTATACATTTATATGTGTATTTGCATTTATATTTATATTTATATTTATATTTATAATTACATTTATATATATATATATATATATATATATATATATATATATATATATATATATATATATATATATATATATAT